ATATAATATATTTATAATCATTAAATATTGTATATATTATTAATATATTTTATAAATATTATTTTTAAAATTTTTTCTGTTTATTTCATATTTCACGTTGCACCTATCCGACAAAATATAAAATTATAATATCCTTTTATGTTAGTTTGTCAGGCAGAAATCGCTTAAAGCGATATGACTACCGTTTGTAGTCATAAGTTTTCCGTTAATGTAATAACTTTGTTAAAATGCAATAAAGAGTTATCTATCTATCTATCTATTCTAGTCTATATCTAAATTCTAGTCTTTGTACCAAAACAAAAATCACAAGGTACTTATTGAACTAGTCAGTATCATTATTTAACAAAGTAAAACAAAAATAAAAATCTCAAAAATGTTAAAAGTTAGTATTAAGCAAAGTGTAACCTAGTAAAAACAGAATATTGAAAAAAATATTTGAAGAACAACAACTTTCTGAACAAAACATACTAATTATGAAATTACTACTTGGGAAAAAAACACAATTAAGTACTAATTAAACAAAAAAAACCCTAATGAAATCAGAAAAAAGTCCTCATAGTACATACTTAAGAATATTATTAAAAATAAATAAGTGATACCTTATTGAATAAGTGAAACCATGAGTACTATGAGGATTTGTATTAAATATATAAAAGTTACTTATAAATTTTGATAAAAATGTTCATAGTTTTTAGGGATTATGTTTTTTTTTTTCAACTAATTTCAACAGCTCCTTTTTCTTTTTACTTGTAATTTTAACTCTCTCCGAATAAGCTGCAAGTAAACACGGTGACATCAAGTCGTTTGGAGTGCTGCGAGTGGACCCTGCTACCTATATTTGCGTATAGGAGGTGTCAGAGTAAGATGTTTTGTAAAAAAAAAAAAAAGATCCAGGGTCTGATTTAGACACATAAATGATACTGAAATCATTCATTTTTACAGATTCATTCAGAATATTTTTGGAAAAGTTTTTTCCAATCTTTGGTGACACTTCTTTAAAATCGCAAAAGCTCTCGTAGGTTAATTCATTAACTGCGAATGGTTTACCGTTAGATTTAGCAGTTCTAATTAAAGTAAAATACTGATCAGGTGTATATATCGTAGTGGAATGAAGGGACTTTTTAAATTTTCTTTCAATTAGAGTATGGCAATTATCACCCTCATTTTGGGTATGTCACTTTATTAGGAATTTGTGAGTAATAGAACGAATATTTTGAAATCTATTTACTACTAAGATGTACATTGAAATCATGGAACGGTTTTTCTGCTGCCCGCAGCAATTATCACTGTAGAATCATCAACTAATTGCTCAGCCTTTGTGTCAATTTGGTTAAGATAATTCCACACGCAAGTTGCAATCTCATTCACACTACGATTGCCATGCCCTTCGTGCCATACATTACAATAAACATCTTTTGTTTTCAAATCAGTTATTGTAAAATTTAAAACATTTACTTTAGAGATGTAATAAAAGTTACTTACGTCCCCCCTTGGACAAGGCATTGTTGCTTGTAAATCATAGACAGCAACTACCACACTGCTCCCTTTCAATTTGTCTTGTTCCTTCTCGGCTCTCGATAGATTCTTTTCGACTAAATGTGTATTATACTCTACTTTAAGACGTTGTTTTTCTTCCCCGGTAGTATTCATGAAAGCCTGACAAGTTTCACACCTATCTATTTTAGGTGAATAAAAGGCAATATTAAACTCATTATTAAATATTTGACTATACAAAACATAGTTACCATATGGCTTATATTCAGTCCGACATAACTTAACGTAATCGCTGTGGAAATCAATCAATGCTTTACTGCCATCAATATAAAGCTTATTAGTATTACTGCGACAGTAATGGCTGTCCATAGTCGGAATATATTGAATGTGCTCCCTTATTTCGGATTTAATAATATTCGGTATTTTGGCATGATGTCCATGCTTTCCTCTACCATCTACAGCTACAACGTTACTCATTGTAGGTGTACGCTTTTCAAAGGTAGTCCTTATTACGCGATCATTTAAGGCAAGTGTGGATTTAAAGAACGTTTTACAAACACATACTTTATTATTTTGAATCGAAAAATAAAACGCATTGTTGCTCTTCCTAGGATTTGCCGCATTTGTGTATTTGTATTTCGGATTAATTATAGTAGTGCTGTTTATAATGAATTTCCTCTGCATCGTTATGTTTCCCAAATTGTAATATTCATGAAAAATGTTCTGTCTTTCTTCTTCTGACATATTTGCAGAACAATAGTTTAGTTTAGTTTACGACGGGCTCTTTTTCGCAACTCCACGTCTAAGCGCGTATTTTGCGTGTGGGCAGGAATAATATGGTTATTCGAGCCATAATATCTCCTCGAAGAAGCTCAGCAGTCCCTTGATGTTGCAAGCAACTTCGGGGAGCGATCCCGGCGTGCCGAGATGTTAAGCCTTGTATGAAGTGACTTCTGGACATGTCAGCAACACGTGAGCCGCCGTTTCTTCCTCTCCCATGCATGCCCTGCACAGGGGGCTATCAGTAACACCTATGGTGAACAAATGTTTGTTAAAAGAGCCATGTTCTGTGATAATACTTGTTACTATCCTGATCTGTGGCTTGTTCAGACTCATTAGAACCTTGGTTAGACGACTGTTTACTTCAGGTCCTTTCTAGCTTGTCTACAGTCTACTAAATTTTTCCAAAGCTGAACGTGTAAATTATTGAAGTATCTACGTACCAGTGAACGAACGTAGCCAAAGGGGATTGATATTATTGGTTCCGGCTCTATAGTTGCCAGGGCCGATCCCCTTCTGGCCAGTTCATCTGGTACATCGTTGCCTCTAGATCCACTGTGTCCCTTGATCCATTGCAGAGTCACATTTTTGTGCTTACATACCTCATTCAATCGTTGATGGCACTCGTATATTAGTCCCGAGTTCGTCACATTGCAACTCAGAGCTTGTAGTACCGCCATACTTTCAGTATCCTGATGGAGAATTGGTCAGTATTCTGATGAAGAAGTCTTTCACCTTACTAGCATCTATTTCTATGGACGCTTGGATGATACCCATGCATTCAGCCTGGAAGACTGTGTTGTGGGTACCCAGCGGTGTGCATATATGGTATTAAGGTCTTCAGATAAAGCCCCAGACCCCACACCTTCATTTATCTTAGAGCCATCCGTTAAAACTTTGAGCTCTCTTGGACCCAATTCTTCCAGATGGTCAGTGTCCTTCAATTGTATCCTGTACTTCTTATCGAATACAAATTGTTTTGGGATCCTATCATACTTAAATTGTAAGATAGGAATTTTTGAGTAAATTCTATCGATTATATCCGTATGAGGGACTCTACTCTTACTTAAAAGTTTTAGGGTCTTGGGTCTAATGGCAGCTAAAGTTGCTTCTTGTTGTATATGTAGATGAAGCAGTGTTAGCTCCAGCATAGCCTCCAAAGCTACTGTTGGTGTAGTCCTTATGCAGCCCGTGGCAGCCATAAAAGCTAATCTCTGGTAACGCTGAAGCTTTTGTATAGTGGTAGCTTCATTGGTTTTGGTCCACCATACCAGAGAGCTGTATGTGATCATGGGCCGAATTACAGTTTTGTACAGCCACAGTATAATTTTTGGCGTTAAACCCCATCGTTTGCCAATCATGTTTCTGCATTGCCAGAAAGTTAAACTAGCTTTGCTGATTTTGTTTTCTATGTGTTTATTCCAGTTAAGTTTACTGTTCAAAGTAAGACCTAGGTATTTTACCTCGGAGGAAAGCTGGAGTTTTGTGCTGAAAAGACTTGGAAGATGATACTTGGAGTTATTCAGCATTCGTTTTTGTGTGAACATTACCATAACCGTTTTATTTGGATTAACGGTTAAGTCATATTCCCTGCACCAACTCTCCACAATACGGAGAGCCGCTTGGGTCAGGTCGCACACAATGCTTGCTGTCTTACCAGAGACCAGTATTGTCAGATCATCTGCATAACCGACTGTGTAGAAATGGTTAGCTTTTAATTTGCTGATGAGTTCATTAATGATCATATTCCACAGGAAAGGTGAAAGAACCCCACTCTGCGGGTATCCTTTCGTGATCTGAATTGTCTGAGATTCACCAGCTATCTTAATTGTTCGTGTAATTAGCATGTTTACTATCCAGTCAATCAGTGCCGGTTCAACATTATGTCTACTTAGGGCACCTTTTATGCTGGAGAAATTTGTTCTCTCGAAAGAGCACCTTCTATGTATATGAAGGAGCCTAGACATATTGCTTTGTTTTGAATGGCCTCTTCAATATTTGTTATTACCTGGTGAAGTGCCGATTCTGTTGATTTAGCTAAGCTATAGGCGTGTTGCTTTTCGTGTAGCGGTAAGTTAAAAAAATTACTCTCAACTCCCGTTCACACATCCTCTCCATTCACTTTAGGAGAAAGGATGTGAGGCTAATGGGTCTGTAGGATTTAGGGTCTGTATAGTCGTTCTTACCTGGTTTGGGTATGAACGTGACTTTCACTTCCCTCCTTCCCCTAGAAACATATTTAAGAGCCAGACATGCTCTCATTATGGCAACAAGTCTGACTATTAGGACTTTACCGCCCCACTGTAGAAGTGCCGGGAATAAGCCGTCAGGTCCTGCTGCCTTATAGGGTTGGAAACTATGAATGGCCCAATGGATTTTGTCCATCGTCACCACTCTTTGTGCTAATTCCCAGTCTTCTCTTTTTTTTTGCACTTCCGATTCCGGTCGTTAATATTTCGTTGTCGTTTACGTGTGAGTTTTTTGTTCAATTCTAAGTTTTCAACCTGAGAGTCTGCAAGTGGAATGTTTGCGATGCAAGAGACGTGTGATGCAGGTGGAATGTTTTCGCGGTGGGCGGAATGTGAGCGTGTACTAGAATCTGATGATGATGAACTGGAATTGGAGGAGCTGTTACATATGCCTAAAATATAAATAAAAATTTAAATGATAAATATACCTAAATATAAATAAATGAAGGTATAGTAACCTCCCTTCAGATTAAAAAATCATTCAAATATATTCTCACCATTAATATCAGTAATATTTGCATCGTTTTTCAAACAATTTTCTATAGCACTGGATGCTGGAATACTATGATCTGGAGCATTTATATTTTCAATCAAATTGGTTTGTACATTTTCTGTAATAAGGAAAATAAATAAAAAAATGAACTTGATAAATGCGCTATAGCGGAACAACTAGAAAAACGTGTCATTGCAATACCTAAATTACCAATATTTTGGGTTCATGTTACTCGTACTTAGATCAAAAGAAAAACAATTATTATTTTAATAACATTATAAATGTGAAAGTTGGGATGTTTCGGTATCACTCAATACCGTCAGAATTGCTGAATAGATCCGGATAAAATACAACGCCTTCTTGTGTTCGATATTGAGCAAGACGGCAAAACCACTAGTAAAAGTTATTAATACCTATTATAAAAAATTACTATTCTTACCATTTGAATCAGGTTCGCATGCGAAATCAGTATTTTCTAAACATTCGATGTAGCCGGGGCCTTGTTCATCTAAGCTAGTATCAAGATTTTTGGATGATTTCAAATTATATTGACGGTTATTCGATGTGCCACTATACATTTTCGAATATAATCTAGTCTTTTCTGTGGTATCATTCTGAAATAAAGAATATGAAACGGAAGATCATAGACAGAATTAGATAAACTGCTATCTAAATTAAATAGTTGTAAACAGAACATCGTAGTTTTTACCGTTGATACATTAACATCACCTAAAATTCAAATGTACACAGACACATTTTGTAATAATACTTGAATAAGATACAACTTATGGTGAATAAAGTAGCAAACAAAAAATACACAAAACTTTTAATAGATCATAGGATCACAACTCAAAATAATACTTTGTTCATTTAAATGCGTGGTACACTAAGCGCTACGTTATAGTGAAGAATACAGGTGAATTTTCGTGTTATAACTCTGTTCTAAATAGGATTTGGAAAATAAAATACTTACTTAAAGAAAAATACACCAAGAAATCACAATAATACACTTTTCCTCTTATGGTAAAACCGAATCTATGTATCATTAATAGATAATACTCTGTTTCAAATAACAACACGGGTCAAACTAGTTCAAGGATAGGAGCAACACTGAACGTGTCGTTCTTCCTTTTTCTAGTGAAACAGTAAGAGCGAGAAGGATATAGATGCAACTTTCGTAATTAGTTCATTTAAGGTGAAAGCGATTTTCGACCTAATTTCAAAGGTAGAGCGTACTTTTTTTAGTCGAACTGTATTATTAAGTCAGTTAGTGCCAAATTTTGACATGATACTGTATTCTTCCGGACAGCAATATTGTAAAAATGTAAATTTCAGATGGCTGTATATTTTATATTTTTGTAACAAAATTGATTGAGAGGGACTAAAAATAAGTCACTGAATACATTTATATTATTTTTAGAATTTTCTGTCTGTAGTTCTGTCTGTCTGTCCGTCTGTTGTTTGCTAACGTATCATTTATAAAGTACTGATTTTTATCAAGATAATCGTTATGATTTATATTCAGAAGTATGGGTACGAATTTGTTCAATGTTGGCGTTGAGTGATCAAGGACAATTTTGTAATTAAATAATGTAAAATAGTGTTCTATAATGGTATAATTGTATCTAAACGGAGTAAACAAAAAATAATTATTTGATTTAAGTAACTTACCTGTAAATGTCCTTCGATCAAAATTATATGAAGTTTATGCCTCATCTATTCTTATGTACACTATGTAGTCATGAAGTGGCGGTCCGAATCACACGAAATTTAAACTTCCAGAAGAAAAATAATATTTTTACTGGGATCCCAACTTATATGAACTCCCACTAGAAACACTATACACCTCATGTCATTGTGAATTTATATCCACTAGAATTAGGAAAAAAAAAATAAAATTCAAGCAAGCCCTTAGGTTAGGTAATAATATACAGCAGGTTAGGGTTGTACACAGAGGAGGCGTCAACTTCATATCATTTTGATCGGAGGACACTTACAGGTAAGTTACTTTGATCAAATAATTATATTCGTTAACGCCGCCTCCGTGTTTGTATACTATGTAGATGTTTAAAGATTTGATTGCTTTATTTTAATTATTTACTGCCATAAATTATCTTAATTAACAATTTACAACAAAACAAACAAAAAAAATTAAAATAAAGCAATCAAATCTTTAAACCTCTACATAGTATACAAACACAGAGGAGGCGTCAACTTCATATCATTTTCATCGGAGGACACTTACAGGTAAGTTACTTTGATCAAATAATTATATTCGTTCCTTCTAACGATTCAATATCGAAATAATACTAGTTTTTACGGAATTTATCGCGTATATTTAACTTTTTAATACCCGACGTTTCAAACGCTTTACAGCACTCATGGTCACGGGCGGGCTTTCAATATCATCAATTCATTTCTTCTAGGACTAGAAGGGGAATGAATGCCTGGTACTATGCACAGTAAAAAGTAATGTATTTTCTTGTTAAAATACTTTACCTAACTAGCTGTTTGATTTATTGCAGGGATATTAAGCAGTTTCCAAAATTAACAACTAATTTACTAAATTTCATACGGTTTTATTGACATACAAGTGATATTGTGAGGTAACTGATACAAGTGGCAAAATTTAAAAACTTTGCACAACCGACTTCAATATAAATAAAATGAGAAGATCATCAAAGTATTTAAAGTTAATCAAATACGCATTATTAAAGACAACTCAAAAATCACTAGTCAGATCTCGTTTAAATCTACATAGGATCGCACTTAAGCACCAGCTTTCAATTAAAAAAAAGGCTTATAAAAATCTGCTCACCCAGAGAAAAGCTTTGAGACAATACACATAAAAACGTACAGTCAAACTGAACTTAACTTACTTATGTATTTTTTATATTTTTTTAGTTTTTATTTTAAAATTACTTTGCTTGCAGCTTTTAACGCAATGTTTGTACCTGACCAGCATATCTTAGTTTCTTTCTTTTTTCCAATAAACGTTAGAGCATTTTAAAGTCTTCTACTGAACAAAAATTTTATTCTGTTGAGGCAATCAATGGGGAGGCCCCCCATTGATTGCCTCAACAGAATAAAATTTTATTTTCCGTAAGGTTAGTTTTGTCATTTACCGAAAAAAGCCACTGCTCACTGTATATCTACTATAATTTAAATACTGAGTCGTAGATACCAGTGTAAACGCTAAACCTAAACAGCCTGAAGTAGAAATCTTCTATATCTTTATTTTTTTAGAAATCCGCTATGAAATCAAATTCGATCCCTAAGAGAGTGAAATAAGGGTGTTACAGTCTATTATTTTATTACAAAAACATTTTAGGGATATTGAATTGATACATAATGAGAGTACATACATAAACATAAACACTCACGCCTGTCACCCATAGGGGTAGGCAGAGACTACAGACTTCCATTTGGCACGATCCTGGCACACCTCTCTCGCCTCCTTCCCATCCATACACCTACGCATACATGCTCGTCGGTTAAGCGTACTCCTAATTTGGCCCGTTTTCAATAAATCGCCAATTTGGTCGATAAATTTTCGCCTAGGACGTCCCTTTCTGACTCTGCCATTCACTTCTGCAACATAAATTTTCTTTGTCACTCTTTCCTCGTTCATTCTTTCTACATGACCAAACCACCGAAGCATTCCTTTCTTAATCCTGGTCACAACATCATCTTGCAAACCTGTCGTTCAGATTCAGCCCTAATATACTCCTTAACGACCGCATTTCTACTGCGTTGATTCTACTCTCGTGCTTCTTCTGCCACACCCAACTTTCACTACCATACGTTAAAGTAGGGACCAACACAGCATTGTGAATTGCCATACGTGCCTTTTTTGACACATTTTGACTCTTCACAATAGAGTGCAGGGCCCCATTTACTCTATTTCCCGCATTCACTCGTCGTTCTATATCCTTATCATATCTCCCATCCCTGCTAAATACGCAGCCCAAATATACAAACTCATCTACTTGCTCGATCAACTCCCCTTCTATTCTTATTTCACAAATCGTTTTACTTTCTTCTCTTTCAAAAACCATAACCTTCGTCTTACTTGCGTTCACTTTCATACCCCTTTCTTTTAATGATCTGTTCATTAATGTAACCATCATTTGCAACTCGGCCGCCGACGACGCAAGGATAACTTGATCACCGGCGTATAAAAGGCATTTGACGGTTAACTCACCCATTCTTAATCCGCATTCTTCAACTTTCAAATTTTGCAAACAACTGCCCATAAATAGGTTGAAGAGCCACGGGGAAGCCACTCAGCCCTTTCTGACACCTTTATGGATGTCAAACCAGTCCGAGTAGACCCCGTTGATCCTAACACAAGCACTAGAGTCCCTATAAAGAGACTCCAATGCCTGTATCAAGCCAGCGCTCAACCCAAATGAGTTCAGTGTTTGCCATAGCACATCCCTATCCTGTCTGTGATAGGCCTTTTCCAAGTCCATGAACGCACAAAAAACCATTTGGTTTTTGGCCAAAAACTTCTCCGCGATCATGTGCATGGAAAAGACTTGATCTGTACATCCCATTCCCTTTCTAAATGAGAGTACTGTATTTAAAAAATAAATAAATACGTATTTTGCGATTTCAAAATAACCCGATACGGTAGAGGGGAAGGGGAAGAGGGTATACAATTTTGTATGGAAATAAAATAATTTGGTATTTCTTAAAACAACCTCTTACCTGGGGAGGGAGAAGGAGGTGGATAATGTTCAATTTGAAGAGAGAAAAATTTTCAATGCTTAAAGCATTTAAAATTTTTCTCTCTTCAAATAATAAAATTTCTCTTACGATTTTAAAACAAGGGTTCAAATTTTGTATGAAAAATATTATATTAAATGTACAGCTCAAATTGCTGCATGTGGATGCATGAAATTGGAACAATAACTTCGTTTTATTAATTAGGCATCAACTAAGTAAGAAGTCTTGAAAAATTAAAATCCTTAGATAGTAAAATAAGGTTTTAAGAATGTTTTTTTACGGGGTGATTTCATATTAAAACCAGGATACATGGTTTGTGAGGAAAAAATTTTCAAGAGAGAGGTTTTCAATTGAATGGTGGTAGGTAAATCTGTAAAACGAAATTATGATAATTATGAATAATACTTATTATAGAACTTTAAAAAATCTGTCCTTATTGATCATTATTTACAAAATAATAAAAATTGTCTATTTTTCATTGTGTCCGAGTTAGTAATCCGACAAAACTATAGTGAGATCAGATTCAGATAAAACGGTTTTACATGCTTTTTGAGGCATAGGGATGAAGCACTGTTAAACTCTTGACTCCGGGAAATTTCTTGATAGAAAATCCAACTAATTTTAAACTCGATGACACCTATTACTTAAAGGTCAAAAAATTCCTAGGTTGAGTTTAGTTTTATTTTTCATTTCTTTGCAGGATGAGACAAAGTATAGATACTTACGCAATTTCATTTATTTTGATAGTTAGTTTTAGGTAGATTAGGTTTCCTGGCGATGTTTTCCTTCACCGCCAAGCACGTGGTAAATCAGAACTTAAAATTGCAATTAACAATTTCATTGGTGC